CTTTCCTGCCATGGCAGGGGGTCAGACTTGATGATCTGCTCAGGTCCCTTCCGACCCTACCAGCTATGAAACTATGAGCTACACTCAGACCAAGGCCTGCGCTAACTTTTGCTGGCATTACCTTGCAGGTGGTAGAAGGTTGTAGTAGTAGAAACTAGCAGAGATCAAGGGATAAACCCATCAGCACATTGCCTAAGAGGGATCTACTCTGTACATTTTCAGAGCCCTGATCAATTTTGTGTCTCCCCTCCCTCAACAGAAGTTCTGAAAGAGGGTGATCATACAGAGCATATGCTTGTCCTCCATGTAAGTGAATAGCTCCTGGGTTATCTTCTGGATCATTGCAGGTTAAATCCATAGCATCTGCCTGGGTGCGTGTATTAAATACACCTACTGAAGAAAAACCAAAAGTTTCTTGCATTTTGGTCACAGTGTACTGAATGTGTCCTTTAGTCAGTCTTTCCAAACTAGCCATCATTGGAAGATCTTGTAGGCAATAGCAATAGGTTCCAGAAGAACCCTTCTATGCCCTGAATACTTTAAAGCCACAAACATACTAAAGCTGCCAGCAAAATTTCAATGCAGTTATTTTTCTGTTGGAAAATGCTGCTGTGTTGAAAATCTCAGTGTTCATGACAGCCTGTCAGTGTCAACACAATTTGCTGAAAAAAATAATTTTAAAATGCCAAATTGAGAGGTATGGTTTTATCAATTACTTTATTCTATTGTTTTATTAATATTTAATATTTTACCTTAGTTAAATATTAAATCTACTGTTGGAATATTAAAATTTTTAAAGAAAAGCTCTTTTCTATTTTGTGTAATGTTTCCAAATTCTGATATTTTGGAATTTCTGTTCTGTAAAATATTTTAACTTTGAGCTCCTTAGAGATAAAAAAACAAATATTGAGATTTGGAGATTTTTTTCATGGGACAGAAATTCTCATTTATGATCACTCCAATAAGTGTCTGACACTGTATCTACGAGATTTTATATCAGAGTTCAAAGATTTTAGCACATATGAAGAATGATGCAGCCATACAAACATGGCCGATCTTTTTACACAGCTTTTACACATTGTACGTGATCTTCAAACTTGGCTTTTTTTGCACAATTTGATTTCCAAGACCAGATTTATTTTTAAATTGCATTGGAAAAAAATGGCAAGATTGGTATAATGCAAGATACTATAATGGGAAAAAATTCTATAGCAGCGTGATAAAAACATCAGTGCCATAATCAAGTGCCTGCTATTATTCCAGGAATACAACTGTCAAGATAGACTGATGGGCAATTTCATTTGAAATACATTTACTAGTTCACACAGAGCTTTGAAATGAGACTGCAGGACAGGACCCTGTATGTGTTACTCTTTAAACAGAGACAAGCAAAAAAAAAAAAAAAATCCCAAGAACCCCAAAAAACAAATCCCCTCCTATGGTGATCACAAATTGCCCTATGAACACAAAATAACTTTCTCAAAGATTTGTGATGTAAATTGTGCTGCAGGCCATGAATTTTTGTATGCCTAACTTGAGAAACCTTAAAACTTCTGCCTGGTTACCAGACAGTACTGAGCCCCCCAACCTCTGAAAAAAAAAATCAGAACCTTTAAATTGAGTCAAGTAGGTAACTAAAAATCTGAACTCCCAAACTCTCTAGTTGCTTGTAAAAATGTAGAAACTTCTGGTAAAGGGAACTCATTCCTGTTGCTCATGGCCAACCCCCTGCAAGCCTTCAGCACTCAGTGCCCAAGTATCACCCACTGAAGTATTCTGAGGAGTTGGAGAAAGGACAGTGCACACTATAGATTCTTTCTTCCATTTCTTTTTTGCACCCCTTCATTATGAATATGCAAGAGAGGTTTGTTTTGATGATGCTTCTGTCACAGAGACTCTTTAGATTCCCCGTTTTTCACTCAGTGCAAAAAAGATGGTATTGCCATTTACCTAACCTGGCTTCAGCCATTACAACAATAAAATATTTGGAAGTGAGTGGTCTCTGGTGCACTAGTATCTTCCTCATTTGGTGACATGTAGGGGGTGCATGTGGGTGCACGTGCACCACCTGAGCTTGGCAGTGCACCCCCTATGCGCCAACACTGCCGGCAGCTCCTGCAGGCAGTCGCCGCTTGCTACCCCCACCCTCCTCGCTGCTGACACCTCCAGCGGCATCTGTGGGCAGTCCACGATTGCCCCCCCCCCCCCCCCCCCCCCCCTGCCGCCGATAGTGCCACTGCCACCTGTGAGAGCTCATCGTGCCCCCCCAGCCTCCCGGGGGCACGCAGCATTCATGATCTTCCTTGTGCTTCTGTCACAGAAGTTTAAAAATGGAGACGTTTCACTTGACTAAGAGAGTTATGAAGTCAAACATCCTAATCTATATGAGAGCACAACATACAATGGGATGGAGGTCGTTGCTCCATATAATCTTTTTAACCTTATAGACAAACCCAAGAGGACTGTGCGCTCAGCATTCTGACTAACAACCTGAGTCTGATCTCATTCATGTATGTGTGAGTCTGGATTTCATCGGAGTCAGTGGAATTATCCCCTGCGAGACAAGAATCAGGCTGACAGTCTCCAGCTTAGGGGCAAAATCAAAGTTCACTTGAAAAAAGCCAAAAATCAATGCTTACTTCTGTTGTCTATCTGATGTTTAAATGATCTGCTCTGGCCTGTCACAAAGCTGAGTGATACCAAGAGCACCAAAACGTAGACTGTGACAAGCTTTAAGTGCTTGGATTGAGGTGACCAATGAGACTGCTGAGACCATGGCACTGAATACCACATGATGGGTCGAGGATAAAGGCACTGCAAGAAAAGAAGGAAACTCAATTAAAATGCATGATTTAAAGAACATAGCATCAAAACGCACTGTCCCTTGATAATTAAGGTGGTTTATAATTTAGCTGTTCATCTTACAGCTGTTTAAATTCTAAAAACGTGGTAAAAAAATTGAACCCCTTGACCCAAGCCACTGAGGATGGAACTAGGACCCAGGATGTCTTGTGTCCAACGCTGTCACTGACTTGCTATGTGGCTTCTTGCGACTAGTCCTTACGCACTATGTGGTCAGTGAGTATAGCACTCACCTCCCTCAAAAGTGATGTAAGGATTAGTCAATGACTGGAGAGAGCCGTGGAGTTCTACAGCCCATCAGGATTCGCTCTCCAGGTTCATATCAATGACCTCTTTTATTGCTGTTCATGTTTTCTTTACTAGTATGTTAGCTACTGGGGTATTTTACAGTCTTAGATAGGATTAAATGCTGTGGAAAGGAAAACTTTGTTGTAAAGCTTTCCTGGTACGAACTTGAGATTTTTTTTTAATTTAACACAACACAACATTGCCACTTGAATATGATCCTACCCTAGAGTCCCAGCAAAACTATAGAGGGCAGTGAGGTAGGCTATAAACACAGGGAAGACAGACTACAGGGTGGGCTCTACGGACAACAGTCTACAAGAGCTAGGCAGTAATGGGAGGAAGCAGGTCTAGAAGTTAGGACACAAGGAAAAGTATTCTGGGTGCTATTCCTAGCTCTCTATTACCTCATTGAAATCTTGGACAAGTCACATAACCCTTCCTTTTTTCAGGCTTCCTGTTGCTAAGTGAGGATATTTAGCCTACGGGGAAGTTGAGATAAATATTTTGAGCCTGTACCAGCTAAAAGTTGCAAGCAGCACCGTCACTGGCTTTAGACCTGTCTACCTGTAAAAGGGGTTGCTGGTAGGTCAATCCTGGCAAACTTCCTAGTGAGAACAGTTCAACAATTTGCAGTTTTTAAATCATGTCCACATGCTATGGCAGGCAGTGGTGCATTCCAGCACCCCCAAATCTACTGCTGTGCCCTGGCTGCCAGACAAGCCTGGAGCAGTGCATCTGTGTCTATGTGGCACTGCAAGCTGGCTGATGAACAGCAAGGTGTGTTAATTGATGCTATCGCTCAGTAACACTGATTAGTTCACCTGAAGCAGTGAGCAGATGTGAGGTCACTGCTTCTGACTTAGGAAGCAACCTGTGTGGAGCAGCATAGGATGTGTGAAGTCACCACTGCCTGGCAGATATACCCGCATGGGTCAAACAGCTCTTCTGCTAGTACAGCTTATGCCAGTTCCCCAAACAGAATAAGCAATGCTGGCAAAAAGGCATGTTTGCTGATACATCTGTATTTACAGTTCCAGCCCTCATAGCTATGCCAATTAGGATGGTGATTGTTTTAACACTCCAAACTGATTCAGCTAGGCTGATGCAACTTCTAAGTGTGGACTAAGCCATTAATAGGTACAGGACCAGGCCCTGAAACATCCTCACATTTGGGGAGATAACAAAGGGCACTGTGTAACATGCAGTGCAGTTAAACCAATATTCACTTTATGAAGCACTTGGCCAGTTCCATTTCTTTCATTTATTAAAATAGCTCCACAGTCACTATGTGCTTCTGCTAGTCTTCAGCACAATTTAATGCTTACCTTTGCTTTTTTTTTTTTAAGGGTGCAAATGAGAGACAAATGTAACCCAAAAGAATGTTTTTAATAGCTGTTTGTAGCAAACCCTTAAATTAACTTTTGTTAACTGCATAATTATCTCACTGTAATTAATACCTTTGCAGAGTACATCATACCCAGCCAAACACCTCTAAAAAGAATAGAGTGACAGTGTTATGAATACCTACATTTCCACTGAACAATCAGTATAGTAGGGCAATTCTGCCTCCATTACACTGGTGTTTATATTTTTTGGCCAGGTGATGCATTTTCCAAGTACACAAGGAACTTCTTAAGACTGGAATTAGCCAGTCAGCTCACTTGAATCAACTTTCAACAGACCCATTATTTATTAAATTTACTATAAACACCCAGGGCAAGATGCCCTTTTAAATACATGTCTTCCAAACACCTCTAGGTAGGTACTGCTGGGTCTCCTACAATGAAGTGGCTGAGCACCATATCACACTAAGGAATTTGTTCATACCCCTGGAAGAAAAGATAGTTATGGTATTACACATTTTAATCTGGGAGAAACTGAGGTACAGGGAGACTGTTGAGTTGATCCTGCATGATGCTGAGCATCCTCAACTCCCATTGTTGTCAGTGGGAAGTAAGACCATGCTAAGTACAGGATGGGGCTCCCAAATCCCAGAGTTTTACTTTAATCTCCAGCCCATCCTTCTCCTTCTAAAACGAAACATGGATGAGTTTTTAATTATAGTTATTAACTACTGACTAAAAAAATATTTTTGTTCCTTATTTTCTCCAGCCCTTTTGGCATTTCACTAAGGATGTTAATGTCTGACTTGTAACCCTGATCTCACCATTCTATTGCATCAGATTAAAGAAGAGACCAAAAAACATGGAGCAGAAATAAATAGTGCTAAGAAAATAGCTCAGAGTACAAAAGGACCCAAGGCAGGGGGTCAAACTCAATGATCTACTGAGGTCCCTTCCGACCCAAACATCTATGAACCTAACCTGCTTTTCATAGGAAAGTTCATTATGAACTGGAAAGCATTCCAGTAGAATTTCCTTAATCATTTTCCCTCCTTTTCCCAAGGAGGAGAAAGTTGTCAGCCATACACTGTGTACACTCTCCCCTAGTCCCTTCCCTGCCACCACAGTACCACCAGAAATGTGACACTAACACTCAGCTTCCTAATCAGGACCTTTAAAAGGCAGATCTTAAAATCTGGATGGGACAAAGCCTGAGTGGAAGTACCTGGGAGGTCTTTCAATGGGTGTTCACTCACACTTCTCTTAACTGCTTGTATCTGAAGGGGTTAGAGCCTGATCCTGCCTTGGCTAAAGTCAGTGTTTGCACTTCCACTGGCTTCAGCAGGTCTAGGGGAGTTGCTCGGGGTCACAGGGTGAGTCAGTGGCAGAGCCAGGAATAGAGCCTGGCATTCCTTATCGTTCTCAGATCCAAGTCTTCATTTTCTATCTACACCCCTCCTATCAGTAACCAGTCTTTGCCATTAGCTCTTCTTTCCTGGCAACCCCCTGTCAAACCCAGAGCTGCTTTTACAGCCTCAGGGGCTCTTTATGTTCCAGCAGTGTTCTAATCTCATTCACAGATCAACTAGCAGCAACAGCCAGACAGAAGCAAGACAAGGATGAGAGCAGCTGGCCCCAGTCACTCACCTGTTCACCGAGGCTTTGCTCCACAGGTGACTGATGCTCCACAGAGAAACAAGCCCAGCACTTGGGGGCAGCTGGCATTTTATACCTAGAAGACCAGGCTAGAAGGAGGGAGGGAGGAAGGGGATGGATGGACGTCAGCTGCACAGCTGAGCAAAATCTACATTGGAAAAGTAATTGTTCTTGTAGCTCCATTAAACAGCTCTGAGGGGGAGAGCTGGGGGTGGTGTTAATGCAGTGCACGGCTAGGGGCACTTTGTCAGCATGATCGACCAGCTTCAAGGAAGACCCTCCCTTTTCCCAGCCAGCGAGGAGTGGGAGCCAGCAGGGAGGGGATATGGATGCTGCTCCACCCCCATAAATCTGCTGGGTCTCAGACTGGAGCAGCAACAGCTTGGTCGCTGCACTCTTCATCACAGAAGTTGTCAATCTGAAAAGCACTTTCCAAAGCTAGGGAGACAAGACCTGCACAAGTTCAGAAGAACATCACTGGGGATAAGGTGCTCAGGAGAGACAGAAAGAAGTGGGACTCCCAAAGTAGTGTGATGAGGATTGGCCTTCCACCATCCCCAAGTCACATTCCTTTGTTATTGGGGTTTCTCCCATGTGCCCTAGCTCGGATCCCCCGCCCCCGAAATCATACTGAGGGGTGTGCATGTTCCAGACTGTCACATAGGATACAGAGATCTCCCTCAGCTTGGGCACCTGAACAGTGCTATAGCAGTGAAGTTTGGTGCCCGGGGCAAAGCCCACAGGAGCAGCCCGCCCTTGCCCCACGCACAGGTCCGGTGGAGGGGGATACATGTCCCCCATGTTTGCCTGGAAGTGCACACAGTGGTGGAAGCCACCCTTCCCCCATCCCTGCACCCCCCCAAACCAGCTGCTCGCGGCTCCATCCCATGCCCCGGCCCAGCTGGGCAGCACCTGTTGGCACCCCTTCGCTTCAGTGCCCGGCGTGGTTGCCCCGCTTCCCCCCCCC